GCCCCTCTCCCTCCATGCACAACCTACAATGTCCAGCTTACCTAACGACCCTATGTCTTTGATTTAGGAATATTTTGAAACATATGCCTGCCCACTCACTGCCTAATAATCCTGTTAGTTAGACACCAGGGAGAATGCGGTGACACAATGCTGTTAGCTTGGCTTAAGAGCCCAACATTTCAGTCTAGAGAGGGCCTAATATGGTAAGCCGAGAGTGCAGACTTAAAGAACCCTCTTACCTGGGAACATCCTTTGCTCAAAGGCATCATCAAATGACCATCCCCTTCTCTCCCAGTGCTGATGTAGTTTAACAGCAACAAGCTGCCTTCACAGCCTTCCCCATTCCTGTGTGGACACAGGAGAAAGAAGCCTGAGACATTTATCTCACTGGCCATCTGAACCTCGACCCTCTGCACTCTAAGCCGAGGCCCATATGGGCATGCATCCCCCTCAATTATCTAGACAACAATGAAAACAAAGTTGGGCCCGGCATGGTGACCTATCGGCTGAGGTCCTTGCCTTGAACACACCGGGATTTCATATGGGCTCCGGTTCTAATCCCAGCGGCCCTGCTTCCTATCCAGCTCCCTGTTTGTGGCCTGGGAAAGCAGTGGAGGACGACCCAAAGCCTCGGGACCCTGTACCCACGTGGGAGACCTGGAGGAAGTTCCTTCCTGGCTTCGGATCTGTGCAGCACCAGCTGTTGCGGTCACTTGGGGAGTGAATCATCAGATGATCTTCCTGTCACTCCTCCTCTCTGTAATCTGACTTTGCAAGAAAAAAAAAAATAAATCTTTAAAAAAAATTTAAAGAATCCCATATAGTCAGTAGGTAAGAGACCAAGGTGGTCTTAGCTCAACTTGAAAACCTGAGGATTTTATTCTTCCTCTCTGGAGGAGAGGTGGTTTGTCGGAATTGACAGCAAACGAGGGAATTCAGCAGCCAACCCTAGATATCTGGATTTTTGCTTAGAAACCTCCTGGCATACTTACACTAGGGACAACAGTTCCTGATAAAAACTCTCCTCCCCTGGGAACTGAAAGCCTCAACTGTGCCTAAACACTTATAAGAGACCCTAAGTGCAGGTATGAGACTTGAAGATGCCGTGAAGACAGGGGCCAGAGACAGAATTCTGAGTTGTGGCCACACAGGAATGCGGCTGGCGTTTTTGTCAACGCCCTTGGGGAAGCTAGAGGGACTTCCTAAGGTCCATGGTTGCCGTCTGGAAAGGAAGACGGAGATGATAGGAACACAGACAGGAGCCTGGCGCGACGGTGGCCTCTTACTCATCGCTCGGACAGGAGAACCTGGTTGAGCTCCAGCCGTGTTACTGGAGAACTGGTGGTCTGAGTCTGGGGTCGTGTCGTGGTGTCCACAGCTTACGCGACCTGACAGAATCGGGGCAAGAAGTGAAGTTTTAGTGAAGCAAGAGAGACTCCGAAAGGATGGGCGGGTAGAAAAGAAAAACAAAAAATCAATACAAAGCCAAACCAACAATGGAGTCCATGTATATCACAGTGCTGGGTGTGCCAGCACTGTGGCCCGGCGGGTACTGGCACCACCTGCGATGGGACCACTCTGCGTGTCACTCAGCTGCTCCAGCACCCTGCTTGTGGCCTGAGGGGACAGTAGAGGATGACCCAAGAGCTCGGGACCCGCACCCGCGTGGGAGACCCCGAGGAAGCTCTGGGCTTCAGCCCGGCTCGCCGCCGGCTGCTGTGGCTACCTGGAGCTGTGCCTTTCAGAGCAACCACTCCGCAAGAAAAGAAAAATCCAGGACAGCACATTATGAAAAACTGTTTCACAATGACTCAAGATGATTATTTTTAAACGCGCCCCTTCGAAAGGCTTAGAGTTGAGGTGGTGGAACTGACAGGACACTGGGAAAAGAATATATATATATCACATATATACACATACACATATATATGTATGTTTGGATTTTTAAGTTTCTTCCAAGATTAAATGCAAGCGACCCCGAAAGAGACCGGGCAGGAGTTTGCAGGAGGCGCACGAACCAGCGCCGCCCAAAAGAACGCCTCCATTTCCGTCAGGCGCGCTTTCTCTTGGTAAAAGCCCGGCTGTTTTCAAACCGCGTTGAGCGCCCCGATTGGCCACTCGCGGGCACCCCGAGCGGCGCGTGCGGCTCTGATTGGTTGGTTTCCCCGTCTGTCTCTGTCAGCCCCGCCCAGCTAGGGAATTCAAGGGAAGCCTGAATTCAGGGAAACGGGCGCTAAACCGGAGGAAGATTCTGAGGAATTGCCTGGGCATCTTTGTGACTAAAACACCGCAGACCTTGTTAATATTTAACATGTAGCCGCAAACATACAGCGTCCCGTCGCCCGTTACTTCTGAAAAGCTGTTAAGTCTCTAAAGCAAATGTCCGGCTGGCCGAGCGCAGGCTTCTTCAGCACTCCCGTGTCAGGAAGCGAAGGTTCGCTGCCGACTGACAGGCCTAGATTCCCAGAAAGCCGGCAATATTCACAAACGCTTAAAAAAAAAAAAAAAAAAACCAACAAACCGGAACTGAAAAACAGCTCCGGCAATACCGAAAGCGGTTTTTACAATTTAGCTGATAACCACCAACGCCCAAGGCAGCCGCAGCCCAAATGCCTGGCATAGGGGCTAGTCCAGGATAGCACACCGCCTGCCCATTCCACTAGCAGACGGCACAGAACGCGGCTAGGTAACAAAGCAACAGAGCCCGACACCTCGGGGTTCTCGAACACTCATCCCTGCCAGAACAGTAAGGGGCGATTAGGAAACTGCCAACCTCACTTCAAGCCGACAACACCGACACATTCAACATCCCCAACCCCAGAGCTAAGTGCCAACAGCTCTTCCTCTGAAAGCGTGGTGGCTCTGAAAAGAGCCTTTGGGTCTGCAGCCGGCGTCTCCGGGTCTCCAGGAGCGTCTACTTGGAGCTGGTGTACTTGGTGACGGCCTTGGTGCCCTCGGACACGGCGTGCTTGGCCAGCTCGCCGGGCAGCAGCAGGCGCACGGCCGTCTGGATCTCGCGGGACGTGATGGTCGAGCGCTTGTTGTAGTGCGCCAGGCGCGACGCCTCGCCCGCGATGCGCTCGAAGATGTCGTTGACGAACGAGTTCATGATGCCCATGGCCTTGGACGAGATGCCCGTGTCCGGGTGCACCTGCTTCAGCACCTTGTACACGTACACCGAGTAGCTCTCCTTGCGGCTGCGCTTGCGCTTCTTGCCGTCCTTCTTCTGCGCCTTGGTCACCGCCTTCTTGGAGCCCTTCTTCGGGGCAGGGGCCGACTTCGCCGGTTCGGGCATGATGAGACACGCGCAGTTCGTCACAACACAAGACTGCGAGCCGCCTGCCTCACGCCCGCTTTCATATAGCTTTCCTTATGCAAATAAGGTGCAGCGAGGGCGCTGTGTCTGATTGGCTGGTAGTCGCACATCAGTGTGGCCCAATCAGGACGCGGGAATGGCAACGTCGCGTTCCCATTGGTCCAAATGAAAAGGCGGCGGCAGCCAATGGGACGCCTTGTTTTTCGCGCCCCGCGGTGTGTATAAGGGCGGCTGTTGGCGGTTTGCTGCAGCACCGAGTGTGTGTCGTGCTGTTTCGTGGCGATGTCCGGACGCGGGAAGCAGGGCGGCAAGGCGCGCGCCAAGGCCAAGACTCGCTCCTCCAGGGCCGGGCTGCAGTTCCCCGTGGGCCGCGTGCACCGGCTGCTGCGCAAGGGCAACTACGCCGAGCGCGTGGGCGCCGGCGCGCCCGTCTACCTGGCGGCCGTGCTCGAGTACCTGACGGCCGAGATCCTCGAGCTGGCGGGCAACGCGGCGCGCGACAACAAGAAGACGCGCATCATCCCGCGACACCTGCAGCTCGCCATCCGCAACGACGAGGAGCTCAACAAGCTGCTGGGCAAGGTCACCATCGCGCAGGGCGGCGTGCTGCCCAACATCCAGGCCGTGCTGCTGCCCAAGAAGACCGAGAGCCACCACAAGGCCAAGGCCAAGTGAAGCGCACCTCCTACCGACCACCCCTAACCCAAAGGCTCTTTTCAGAGCCACCCACATGTCGCTCAAAAAGAGTTGTGATTCTTTCATAATGTTTTAAATGTACTCGTTTCTATTTTGCGTATGTCCCTGAGCAAAAGTTGGATAAATAATGCTAACAGGTAGTCCAATAACGGTAGCAGGGAATTTAGTCAAGCCGTCAATAGAACTTCCTTTCTCTTGTTGTCCTGTTTTCAGATATATTTTGTCTGTTGAAATAAAAGCCCAAGGTGCTTTACTTGGCAGCCCTGTTTTCCCCAGGAATTTAGTGCTAACCCTTCACGGGAGACAGCATTAAGGAACCGTCCAGAACAGGCGGATTGCTGAAGATTCCCAGACACTTCTCAGGTTGAGTTCTGTATTTAATCGCCTCTTCGATGTTTGTTTTTGTAAAAGTGTATAAGTATTAACATATGAAAGTATCCGTTGCACTGCAGTAGTTTCACCAAACTAGCAGTGGGGTTTCCTGCAAGACGGGGTGAATTGGTCGTTAAAATGTGAAGCCTTGCGGTTATATATTTCGTTGATTTTTCATCAAAGATTTTTAATGACTTAGAGGATACACACAATTTTTATTTTCTGTTTCCACACTGTACACATAGATTTCCAGGATACAATGTTATTTAAAAAGCAATGGCAGTGCTTCAGCAGGGGAAACACGAAGTGTTGGGCAAATCTGGTAGGTCCATGAGGAAAGCGTTAAATTGTATCATGTGCTATGACCTCGTAAACTCAGGACTGCAGCAGAAGTGATCAGAACGCGATCAGCATGAGGAGAGGGAAGCGCCCCCGGGTCCAGCAAGCTTCCCAGCGAGGCGGGAGAGGTCGGCGCTGGGCGCTCCCGCCTGCTGCTGTCTCCGCCCCTTGGGGGCGTGTCCGCCGTGCTGCTCTCACTCAGGTCCGCCGAGCGCTTATAAAGGCGCGGCTGGGCGCGAGGAAGGCCGTGTTGGCTGTGGGTGTGTGACTGCTGAAGATGTCTGGTCGCGGCAAGGGCGGCAAGGGCCTGGGCAAGGGCGGCGCCAAGCGCCACCGCAAGGTGCTGCGCGACAACATCCAGGGCATCACCAAGCCCGCCATCCGCCGCCTGGCGCGCCGCGGCGGCGTCAAGCGCATCTCGGGGCTCATCTACGAGGAGACGCGCGGCGTGCTCAAGGTCTTCCTGGAGAACGTCATCCGCGACGCCGTCACCTACACGGAGCACGCCAAGCGCAAGACGGTCACGGCCATGGACGTGGTCTACGCGCTCAAGCGCCAGGGACGCACGCTCTACGGCTTCGGCGGCTGAGCTGCTCCCTTCCTTCACTGCCTTTAGAAGATTGTTCACACAAAGGCCCTTTTCAGGGCCTGCCAAGTTTTCATGTGAAAGAGCCGTTCACACTTCTAACTGGGGCTTTTCATGAAAGTTCTTGCTTTGTTACTGCTTCTTTTCGACTGTTTTGGTAGGAACCCTGCGGTTGTAAGCCATACGTCAGTTCTGTGGCTCCACAACCTTCTGATTAGGTTGTTGTTGCTCCATGGCAAATAGGTCATTCGGTCGCATTGATCTGCCAGGGCCATTTCCGTCCGTGTATGGAACGTTGCTTCCTTAGTTGTGCTGATGTGTAGGGTGCATACATTTCTGACCCTAGTCGTGATTGGTCCTTAGAACTTTCCTGAAGTTCTTTGTTCTACTCCTTTCTCAAAGTTTTTCAAATACCTTCCTGACAGTTCCCCTGCCGCTTGAGTGTCGCGCCCCGGCAGGCTGCATGGCGAGCAGTGGCTCACCCCCTCCGAGTGTGGAGCAAGAGAGGGTCAAGTCAGGGGGCAGACCCACATTCTATTGCTCTGCTCCATTGCTGCCCAGACAGGCGCAGTGTCTGGTGCAGCTCCCATTCTCGTGGTCCTCCCTGTAGCAGTCTGTTGCAGCTAACGTTGGCAGATCCAAAGTTCTCCTGTCGGGCTCGCTATCAGGCTTGTGGTGCGACCTAATGTGGTCCACCTCTTAGCTATTTAAGTTTTTTTAATTCAGACCCAGTAGCTTTCCGTAGTCAAGGTGGTGGGTAAAAGCTACTGCGCTGGATAGGTGGTGTAAAGAAAGCATTTAGAAGTTTTGTGTCTTAACATGTTAAGTGGAAAAGTATTAATTACCAAAATTGTTAGTAGTCAGCCGTTTGGGTTATTTCAGAGGCCCAGTCTGGTGAAAGGATGTTCCTCCTGGCTTCAGTCACATTTCTGCAGCGAGTGCAGTCATGTTTGACAGCATCTCGGACAGAGTTAACTCCTTGCAAGTGAGCACAAGAAAGAAGGTATGGAGCAGGCCAGGTTACACTACCTGCTGGCATATGTGCGGCTCAGTTCCAGGGGCCAGTTCATAACACCCACTGGCAGATCTGAGAACCAGGACGGGGGCAGGACGAAACAGGCCTGGCTGCAACATCAGCCAGTTCACATTGTGCCTGGGACTGGGGTCTGGCTGGTCCTGGTGAGGCTGCAGCTCCCACCAGTGTGAAATGGAACTGGGGATACGCCGGGCCAGGCCACAGCACCACCAGCAAATGCGGAGGTGAGAGAGGCCATGCCAGACTGGGCCGCAGCACCCACCAGTGCACATGAGACCCGGGTGGGAGGGCTGTGAGCTTGGTAGGGAGGCAGCACTGGCTCTCCTGCTGGGCCACTGCACTGGGTGCAGACCAGGTCTGGGCAGGGATGCAACACCTGTTGGCTCGCATGTGAACTGGGTTATGGAGAGGAACCGACTGTCTCCACTGGTGTATGCATGAGCCAAAGTAAGCGCAGGCTGGTCAGGCTTGTCACAGCATCAGCTAACAAGTGCTGGGACAGGGGTCAAATCCTGTCAAGCTAGACTGCAGAACCATCTGGAGAGTACAAGATTAAGGACTGGGTGTGGGCCCAGAAAGGGAAACTGTGGGCACCTCCCTGATGTGCTTCAACTCCCACTGGTGAGCATGAGAACCAGGACTGCGGGAGGGTCTGGCTAGAGAGACGGTGGGACCCATAGGCATGAGTGTGGGCTGGACAGTAGGGCTGGTTGGGTTGAACTAGGCTTCAATGCCCATTGACATGTATGAGAGCTGAATGGGATGTGGGACAGACTGGACCAGTCTGTTGTACATGCTGGCAAGCATAGCAACCGTGGCTGGGGGCAGGCCTGGCAAGGGTTATTGGTGGGTTGCTCTGATTAGGCTGCAGTTACAAAGGCAGGTGAATCCACCCACAGAGGAAAACCTGTTGTGCCTCATTCCCCAATTCCATGAGTGACTACAGAGAACCTGTTAAGTTTTTACAACTGGAAAAAGTAAAAGTATAAAATTCCCACCCTGCCATATCTTATTGCCAGTTAGCAATGTCTGAGCCACAGGCGCTTTTCCCGGCTGCCCTTCGCAGGCCTGTGCCCGCCGGGCCTGCCCTTTCCACCGGCTCCTTGGCACTTCCTTGTTGGACAGCACTGTCCTGGTTCTCTGACTCATCTCTCCACATGTTTCCTTTTCGACTTTTTCGTTTAAGATTCATTTATTTTTATTAGAAAGGCAGATGTACAGAGAGAAGGAGAGACAGAGAGGAAGATCATCTATCTGATGATTCACTCCCCAAGTGGCTGCAATGGCCGGTGCTGCACCTATCTGAAGCCAGGAACTTCTTTCCAGGCCTCCCACGTGGGTGTAGAATCCCAAGGCTTTGGGCTGTCCTCGACTGCTTTCCCAGGCCACAAGCAGGGAGCTGGATGGGAAGTGGAGCTGCCGGGATTAGAACTGGCACCCATATGGGATCCCGGGTGCGTTCAAGGCGAGGACTTTAGCCACTATGCTATTGCCCCGGGCCTGCCTTTGTCGATTTTTAAAAAAGGTTTATTTTTATTGGAAAGTCATATATACAGAGAGGAGAAGAGACAGAGAAGGAGATCTTCCATTTGTTGATTCACACGCCAAGCGGCCGCAATGGCCAGAGCTGCATTGATGTGAAACCAAGAGCCAGTAGCCTCTTCTGGGTCTCCCACATGGGTGCATGGTCCCAAGGCCTTGGGCCATCCTCCCTTGCTTTCCCCAACCGCAAGCAGGGAACTGGATGAGAAGTGGAGCTGCTGGGATTTGAACCTGCGGCTATTATAGGCTCTCAGCACATTCAAGATGAGGACTTTAGCTGCTAGGCCACCACTCTGGGCCCGAGGCCAATTTTTTAAAAAGATTTATTTATTTTTGGTGGAAAGGCAGATTTACAGAGAGATGGAAAGGCAGAGAAAAAGATCTGCTGGTTCATTGCTCAAGTGGCAGCAATGGGTGAAGTTGAGCTGATCCAAAGACAGGAGTCAGGAATTTCTGGATCTCTGACATGGGTGCAGGGTCCCAAGGCTTTGGGCCCCCCCTACTCTTTCCCAGGCCATAAGCAGGGAGCAGCTAAGCCCAAACAACCCTCACCCACTCTAATTTTTGTTTGCACCAGGAAGAACAGTCAGCCCAGCCTGGCTCTTCCTTGACCTGGCTCATATGAGGCACGTAGGTGTTATACCCCTGCCTGGTCTGATCTGCCCCCATTCCAACTCATGCTCCCCAGTGGGACTGACTGCCCAGCAGGGGAGACCTCCACATTTCCCCTACCAGCTTTGCCCCCTTCCCTCTGTTCTCACGTGTGCAGGTTGGGTGCTGCGGCCCAGTCTGGCATGGCCCGCCTCTCCTCAGCACTTGCTAGTGGGTGTTGTAGCCTGGCCTTGCCTGGCCCACCCCCAATTCCAGCTCATTCTGGTGACAACCACAACCTAGCCCAGCCAAGAAGACACCCTGTCCTAGCTGTAAAGTGCACTGATATGTGTTGCGTCCAAACCTGGCATGACCCACACTCTGTTCTAGTGCTTGATTCGCCAGTGGGTGATGTGAACTGGTTCAGCCTGGTCCTCCCACCCCCGACCCTGCCAAGTGTATGATGTACCTTTCCCTGGCCTGGTCTGGACTGCTCCCTATTGTGGTTCTTGCACTCACCTGCAGGGATTGTGTCCCAACAGAGGAGTTGCCCAAGCTCCTCCATCAGAACCTCTCTCAGTGCCAGATCATGTGCATACCTGTGGGTCCATGGGCCAGCCCTACCTAGTCCACCTCCTGTCCTGGCAGGAACAATGGCCTTTCCTGACTGACCTTCACTCCATTCCAGTTCTTACTGTTGGATGTTTCAGCCCAAGGCTCGTCCACACCCAGACACAGCTCACACATGGCTCAATAGGGGCAGAGACCTAGCCTAACCTGTCCTCCACCCACTCTGGTTCTCCAGGGCACCAATTGGTGCGGACTCTAGCCCAGTTCGGTGCTCCCAACCTCAGTCCACACTTGTGCCGAGGGAGACTGCAGCCATATCCAGACCAGAACACAGCTCCCCGCTTTTACCAGCGTGAACCTCAACCCAGCCAGGGTGTCCTCTTAGTTCCCCAACCAGCTCGGTCCCCAGCCATAATAGATCTTGTGCGTGCCAGTGGCTGACCCAGCTTGGCATGGCCCTCCTGTGCCTTGGCCTTTGCCTTAGATGCTGTAGCCTGGTCTGACCTGGCCTGCCTCTACCCACCCCCCCATACTGCCCTAGTCCCGATTCTCGCTGGTTGGTGATGGAACCTGGCGCTGCTCAGTCTATTACCATCCTTGGCTCATGCAAACCAGTAGTTTAAGAACCTAGCTCAGCATGACCTGTGCTCCAGCCTGGTTTCGGTTCTTGCTGGTGAGCTAAGGTTTGCTCGACCTTGCCTGGGGTGCCCCCTTCCATAACAAACCCACACATTAGCCAATAGTTAGAGCTACTTTGCCCAGCTTGCCTGACCCTCAGGCCTGGGCCATGTGATCACCTGTGGGAGTTTATGACCCCTAGGGGAGTTTGTCTAATTCCCCCAGCCACTCAACCCACTCCCAGACCCAGGCCTCATAAATGCCAGCTGGTGCTAGGGCCTTGTCCAGCATTGTCTGCCCTTCCATCTTGGCCTTGCACGAGCTGGTGAACATGGTGGCCCAACACGCCCGGCTCCACACACACACCCTGCTTAAGGACGCACATGTGTGTGCTGCAGCCTGGATTTACTCGGACTGTTATTAGCTCCTGTACCCATGAGTGATGGCAGATTTCATGGTCACACCTAGCTCAGCTCATCTCTTGAACTAACGAGCGGGACTTGCATTTCCACAGGGTTTGACCCACATATCTCCCACGGAATCTACCCCTGAGCCTGGTTCTCTCATGCGCTGGTTAGTGTCATGACCCTGCCTGATGTGACCTGTCCCTGTGTTGACTTTCCGTCAGGTACTAGGATCTAGTCCTGCTACAGAGGCCCCAGCCCTAGCTTTAATGAGGACTGGCGTGTGGTGCTCGGCAATGTTACTCACGACTCACATGTAGGCTGGTGTATCGGACTCTCCCCTCCAAACCACCAGGTCTCAGTCCCCACGCTTACCTACAAGTACAGTGACCGTCATTGGGAGTCCCTCAGGGCTTATTCCTTACCTACACACACAATGACCTTATCCACGGATGTCACTAGCGGACAGTTCCACACCCCAAAGCCCCAGAGCTCGCTGGCAAACCACCTGTGGTTAGAGCCCGGCGTCAATTGGCACAGTGGCTGCTCAAAACCCCAGGACTGGCTGTGGCAGCCGTGGCTGTGACCAGGACCACACTGAGTCGGATCTGGCTTGGCAGGTGTCAGCATCCAGCAAGGATCAAAGTCCCCAAACACAAATTCTTGAATGACAATGTTTTGGCTGACTCGCTGCGGCTGATATAATCTCAACTGTCATCGTTTCCAGCAAATAAGGATTTTTAACCTACTTGGGGGGTTAAGGGCCTGCTAGCTTGTTCACATTTACAAAAGATGCTGCATAGCAGACTTCTGTGCTTTAGTGGTTGACAAAGTTGTCAAAACCTAGAAAACTAAACGTGGAAAAACTGCTGATGCTAAAAATGCTGATACAGCAGTTCGAATATCCAAGCAACCTTAAGCGACTTCTCAAATAAAGATTCAGCTGCGAGCCCTGCTAATACAACCAACTCATGAATTTCACAATGCCAATACAAGAACATGGATTCATACAATGTTTAGCTCTCCCAAGAGTGGGTGGGCGGCCCTGAAAAGGGCCTTTTTGTGAACAATCTTCTAAAGGCAGCGAAGGAAGGGAGCAGCTCAGCCGCCGAAGCCGTAGAGCGTGCGTCCCTGGCGCTTGAGCGCGTAGACCACGTCCATGGCCGTGACCGTCTTGCGCTTGGCGTGCTCCGTGTAGGTGACGGCGTCGCGGATGACGTTCTCCAGGAAGACCTTGAGCACGCCGCGCGTCTCCTCGTAGATGAGCCCCGAGATGCGCTTGACGCCGCCGCGGCGCGCCAGGCGGCGGATGGCGGGCTTGGTGATGCCCTGGATGTTGTCGCGCAGCACCTTGCGGTGGCGCTTGGCGCCGCCCTTGCCCAGGCCCTTGCCGCCTTTGCCACGACCAGACATCTTCAACAGTCACACACCCACAGCCAACACGGCCTTCCTCGCGCCCAGCCGCGCCTTTATAAGCGCTCGGCGGACCTGATTGAGAGCAGCGCGCCGCCTTTCCCTGTTCAGCTTCTGCTTTCAGCGGCAGGGAAAGAAAGGGGCGGGGCTGATACGCCTGTTTAGCATGAAGCCTCCTGATTGGAGCGTTTTCTGCGCCTTCGGCTCAGCGCAGTTCCTGAGTCTAACCTGCGTTGTGCTTGTCTGTGGAGTTGGGGGAGTATTAGAGATGGTACCTTTGAAAACGTAGGAAAATTTTTCAAGAATTTATTAAGGATTCATCTCCTGTCTCCTGCCCATTGTGCAGTAATTGCGAAGTTCCTATGCCAGGTATTCCTGTTTGTGCAACAGGTGGACCCTTATTAAGCATTCCGGTTTCCACGTGGCTCGCAATTTTTTTTAATTAATCATGCTTGATAATAAGTGCGAAAAGCCTTTACACGTGTGTGTTAGCGATTTTACTTGGAATTTTAAAATAATCTTTTAAATTTATTTTTATTGGAAAGCAGATATACAGAGAAGAGGAGAGTCAGAGAGGAAGATCTTCTGACCAATGGTTCACTCCACAGGTGCACAAATGCTGGAGCTGAGCCAATCCGAAGCCAGGAGCCAGGAACCAGGAGCCTCTTCCTGGTCTCCCATGTGGGTGCAGGATCCCAAGATTTGGCCTGTCCTCGACTGCTTTTGCAGGCCTCAGGCAGGGAGCAGCTGCTAGTCTGTGAATCGGTATCTGTTTGGTTGGACAGAGCTTCCATGGAGACTTACTGCCAGGTGGATTAAAAAGGGAGTGAGATCGTGTCCCGATATACTGGAGAAGCACAACTTGACTAGTCAGTTCACTAGTGGCATCCTTTTCCTAGGTGATTTCCTGTGTCTCTCACCAAAAAAATAAATCCTGCTGCTTTCTCCACGGCCACAGGTTTCCCTACAGCACCCTGTCGGGCTGGGGCGTGTGGTTATCTCTTCTAGGTCAGTGGGGTCTGTAGGGCACCCCACTTATTTTTCTTTTGCTCATGTTAGTTAACTGGTGCACATCCGATTTTCCCTGCAATCCAGCAGCTTGTTTAAACAAATGTACTATGTCACACGTGGTTGTGAGGTCAGACCTTTAGAGTGGCTGCCTGATATGGCTCTGGCCATGCTCTCTCAAAGGGGCTGTACTCACCCAAGGCTGCGCTGGAGTGTGGAAAGGCCTGGTTGGTGGGACTAGGCATCTGTGGGCATCTATCTCACTCCCAGAGCGGACTGAAGAAAGCATATTTAGGGCATCGCTGTGGAGCAGCACCCACTTGCGGCTGTCCTCAGGAGAGGCAGCACTGGGCCGGAGGCAGGCTGAGGCTCCAGAAGCCAGCAGCTCTCTGGGGAGAAAAGCACTTGGCATCGTGAAGATTCCTGATTCCTGGCACTGATCTGGGAGCTGACATTTTAAACATGGGAAATAGGCAGCAGTTTGTTGTGACTCTGTTAGCTCTGACCTGATTGAAAAGCTGTTGCTTTTTCTAGTGAATGGTTGGAAATCACTTGAGCCATGCAGTTGTTACCGCAGTTACCTCTAAACAGGAAAAGTAGCCAGTACAATCACATATGTTTAAAGACACAAACTCCTACAAAAGAAATATACTTGATAAAATGCTTAAACTCTGCTTTTGATTAAAGAAAGATACTGCAGTGGTGTCTGCATGGTGGCAGCAGATGCTAATCCTCTGCCAAATAAGCACCTGTTCACATCCCAGCAGCCCCGCTTCCCATCCAGCTCCCTGCCTGTGGCCCGGGAAAGCAGTCGAGGTCGGCCCAAAGCCCTGGGACCCTGGACCTGCTGGGAGACCCGAAAGATGCTCCTGGCTCCTGGCTTCAGATGGGCTCAGCTCCAGCCATTGCGGCCACTTGTGGAGTAAACCAGATCTCTCTGTGTTTCCTCCTGTCTGTAAATCTACTCTTCAAATAAAAACAGAAAAAAAAAAAAAAAAAGAAACTACTAAAAAGATACCAGTATATAGCTCTTATAAAGATAGGAATGTAGGGCCCGGCACGGTGGCGCAAGTGGTTAAAGGTATCGACCCGTTGCGCTCACTTGGGGAGTGAATCATCAGACGGAAGATCTTCCTCTCTGTCTCTCCTCTCTGTATATCCGCCTTTCCAATAAAAAAATAATAAAAATAAATCTTTAAAGAAAAAAAAAGATAGGAATGTAAAAATTATCTGTTAGCTTCAATGAATCATATTGCAGCCTTCCGTCCAGCTGCATGGGTCAGAGTGGACAATTGAAAAGCAAATAGACTTTCTTCCCATAGGTTTTAGTTGAAGGTGACCGTGTAGGTTTCTCAGCAGTACTAACATCCAGTCAGAGAGACAATGTTTCATTTGCCATTTCCTGAATGATGTCTACTCCTGTGGCACGCAAACATTTACAAACTTTGGGGTTTTGCACTGGTGTCACTTAACTTTAGATCAGTGTCTGGCCACACTGCAGCCATTTGTCATTTCATTATCTTGGACTCTTAAAGCTCTTCAGTTACAAACTGCTTGGTTATTCTATGTTAGCCAGAAACATCAATAGAAGCTTAGGAAACTTCATGAAAATAAACATGTCTCATGGTAATGCAGGAAGAGTTGAATATTGTAAATTAATTGGCTAAATTTTTCCATTGAATTTCTGGATGAATAAATGGATGGATGGATGGATGGGTGGATGGATGGATGGTTGGGTGGAACTGAAACATTGACATAAAAAGATCTTTTTATGAAGATGAATTATTATTATTTTTTTTGGCCTGGAATTACTTTCAAGCATAAGAACAGCTAACAATGAAATGAATCATCTTCCAGATCTAAAGTTTGCAGTTATTAAAAAATACTGTTGGCATAAAAATGAAAGTGTAAACACATTCACAACAGATTTTCCTCTTACAGGCATACACTGTGACCCAAAAACCCTGTTTTGCTGCTTGCTGTTTTTTCCCTTTTCCTGGGTGACTCTTTGATGACAGTCACAAATCCAGAGACTTCAGAGAAAAATGACTAGTTGCTTCAAGAGAGTTTTTTACATGATTGTTTTAACCTTCCTTAACTCTCCTGATGATTTTCTGTTATACATTTTTAGTAGGAAATAGCTGCTTCAGTTTAAAGGGGGAAAAAAATAACCTTTCCTTGAAATACTTTTGCAATTGGGTGCCATGCAAAGAAGGAATGGGGGTGCTTTACATGACCTGAATCTTGAAAACATTGCTGGAATCCACCAGGATATGCTGCATGGCACAGCACGCAGAGCAAACCTGACCCTCTGCAGGTTGGCACACACAAGCGTTGCCTACCTGAGGTCACCCTAGGCAAGGATTTTTTGCAGGATTCCTCAGTTACACTGCTGGACTCAGACTCCAGGCACAGGGGAAAAATAACAAGATTTGTGGTCCTACTCTGGAGTGTATGTGTCAGGACTGTGCCTCCTCAGTTGCTGATGCCAAACCAGGGGACAGCATGCCCAGACGCATGTGGGGGACATGACAGCTAGTTCATCTAGGCCAGCAGAGGACATCGAGTGTCTTGGCAGATGATGGAGAGCCAAACTCCTGGCCACGTCTTACAGCTTGTTCCTGGGTCTGTGGAAGCAGTAAGGTAGACTGTCAAATGATAGACCTTGGAAAGACTTTCTCAAGCCTGGTGCAATGAAGCTGACAACGTCTCAGAACTATCAAAATCACGTAAGTACCACCCTCGGAACATTTTTCCCCCCGTTGAAGTCTCTAAGAAGTCATCAAATGACCAGAAACTGATGTGGTTTGACAGCAAAGAACGGCCTCTTGCCTTTCTCTCCCATGGACACAGAAGAGAAAAAAAACATCTGAAATACTTGTCTCACCCACCTTCTCCCATGCCTGATCCTCTCCACCTTAATCAGAGGCCCAAAGGGGCATGCATCTCCCTCAATTATGTAAAAAACAACAAAAACCAGTGCTGGAATTCTCCCCCAAGTCCAACACACTGTCAATCAGGAAACATTAGGTCCAAAATCAATACAATTAAGAACGATGTAAAGTCAGGTCTAGAATTAAGCCATTACGGAATTGGGCTGTTTTAAAGCTCTTTTACTCCTGCTGCAGAGCCCTGGAGGACTCTGCCTGCACAACACTCTACACCTGCATGAACCGAATGCTGGGTTTGGTCTCCATCACACACATTTGTTTCAGTTGCTCAGTTCCAGCTGTATCAAGTATTAGTGGAGCTAACTTTGCTAGTAAGTTCTAAAATTACACAGTAAGTGCAACGTTTCACTTCAATTACTGTGATTCAACGGATCGACTCAGTAACGTGGAGTTACGATTTATAGATATCAAGCTTCATATGTGTGAGAGTACAGTCATTTTGTAGCATTTACAAGATGGTTTCTAAGTGTAAAATCATGGCTTTGAAACAAACTAGACCCTTACTGCTAACTGTCATCGGGCAGAGCTGCCAGAGCGGCCCCTTCCCGGGAAACAGGTCATAGGACCTGGTGTGACATGGTCGCCAAAATCCCTCACCGTCGGCTTCTGTGTCACTTGATTACTGTGAATTGGAAGGCAGTTTCTGAATTTAGTCAATGCTCAAGGAAAGAACTGGACTCCACGTTTTGAAGGGACTGTCAGAGCTTGGGGACCTCTCTCCTAGCCGCTAACTTCAGCTGCCAACGTGCAGGGTTCACCAGTGTGTAACACCCAAACATTACATGCATATGACTATTTTTCTTCCTTTTCTCCAGGTGCTTAAGGCTCACCCAAACTCGTCATCCAGCTTGCCCAAAGGACTCTCAACTGTGAACTGCTGACTTACTTCAGCCTCCATGATTTGAAAACACACACATACACACACACACACACAAACAAAAAACACTATATTTTCAGAGTTAAGCAGTTATGCATGACCTGCCTAGAACACAGAAGCTGCAGATTCACTTAAAAACACGAAAATAATTTAGATGTTGTGATGTGGATTAGCTAAAACAAACCATAGGACCAAGCATGAACTGTGCAAGGTGTCATTTGAGGTGAGGGCCTTGGAAGGCTCAGAGCCTCTGGCATGCTTGAGGGCCTGCTGATCTCGGCAACTTCCGTGTTGTCTGCTCGAGATGTTATTTCTCTAGAAGTGCAATTGCCAATAGTAACCACCCTGCTGTTGTGCCGTAGCAAGACTTGTACACGCACTGCAACTACAAAAATCCCGTTTGACCTTTCCCCTTAGCGCGCTATTCTAGGATAGCTGCCGTCCACTTGCGTCCCCACTTACAATCTTACAAACAGCCGTGGCACACTGGCTCACTTGGTTAACCCCTTCCACGCACTAGGATCCAGGACAGGTGCCTATGTCCCAGTAGCTCCACTTTCCTTCCAGCTCCTTGGAAGAGCAGGTGTCCCTCGGGTTCCTGCGCTCGAGACCAGGAAGTTCCTGGATAAGGGTCAACTCAGCCCTAGCCCTTAAGGAGACTTGAGACGCGGAAATAGCGAAAGAAACTGAGGCTCCCCTTCCTGTTAAGTCGGCCTTCCTGGTAAATCAGGCTTCGTAGACCCAGGTGAGTGGCGGCACTTAGGGGTTGAAGGCAATTAACGCATTTGCGCAGCTGAGACTCAGGAATTGACTACTCACCTAAACCGGGAAATACGAACATGCCACGTAGTTACCAGGCTCTTTTGTGAAAATGAAGGCGGCTCTGAAAAGAGCCTTTGGGGGAAGCGGTGACAAAGTCGCGGGGCTCAAGCCCTCTCGCCGCGGATGCGGCGCGCCAGCTGGATGTCCTTGGGCATGATGGTCACGCGCTTGGCGTGGATGGCGCACAGGTTCGTGTCCTCGAACAGACCCACCAGGTACGCCTCGCACGCCTCCTGCAGCGCCATCACCGCCGAGCTCTGGAACCGGAGGTCCGTCTTGAAGTCCTGCGCGATCTCGCGCACCAGCCGCTGGAACGGCAGCTTGCGGATCAGCAGCTCCGTCGACTTCTGGTAGCGCCGGATCTCGCGCAGCGCCACCGTGCCGGGCCGGTAGCGGTGCGGCTTCTTGACGCCGCCCGTGGCCGGCGCGCTCTTGCGGGCAGCCTTGGTGGCCAGCTGCTTGCGCGGGGCCTTGCCGCCGGTCGACTTGCGAGCGGTCTGCTTGGTGCGAGCCATTGCTGACGCTGTTTGCTAACTCGAGCGAGTGGAGAGCCGAACGCAGCGGCCAATATTTATACTGAGCATCTGCGCCTGGTTGGCTAGAGCGGTTGCAGGCAGGCGTCACCGGATTGGCCCGGAACCCAATCTGTATTTCTCTCCTATCCGCCCCATCTGGTTTTAAATTTCTTTGAACCCTTCGGCCAATCGGGTTCAAGTTCCGCCCGCCCACGCAGAGAATTTTGAAAAGTGGCGCGAATCGTCTTTAGACGCATTTTCGTCGGAGCCTTTTCACTGTAGGGGAACTGCAGCAACACCCTCGTTAGTCTCATTAATTTGGTCTCATACCTGCTTTATTATTTGCCTTTAATGACTGTACCAAGACCCACTAAAAGGATTTTAGAAGTACGTTTGACAGCAAGGAGTGGAGTCTTCACTTCAGAACACAGGAGAATTGAAAACAAAAGACAAAAGACCCTGAAACGCTTAATTATTCGCCTTCCTCCACAGCCTGGCTCGCCCCCATATTAATCACAGCCCAAGCTTGGTATGCTTCCTTCTTAAGTGTTAAACACTATTGCTTAAAACTTAAAATATTATTAACAATTTAATTATGAGTGTTGCAGTGTGATTATTGAAGTGGTACATCAGACATCAGAATGCCAGTTCACGTCTTGGCTCCTGCCTTTTTTTTTTGTTTCGGTTTTCCGGCAATGCCCCTGCAAAGGTGACCGACTAAATCCTAAATTACTTCATGGCTTTAACCCACATGGGAGACTCAGATGAGTTTCTGAGCTATAGACCGGCCCCGGCCTAGCTGAAAGACGCTTCCTTGCAACAATGTGGAGGAATCCAACATGGGGGGAGGGCATGGAGGGATGGGGGAAGGCCCAGAGCCTATGAAACTGTCATAAAACATAACTTTAAAAAATGCTTCCTTCCCATTCTGCTTTACAATTAAATAGATTATTACATTTAACTAAAATACTTTCAACATCGCATTCTTAACAAACCTTGCTGGCAAGGGAAATTTAGACTATCACCCCACAAGTTTATATTTGTAATTTTTTTTTAATGTGTTTGAGAGGTAGAGACCTAGAAAGAACAGAGCGAGCTGTCCTGCGTTGGTTTACTCCTGCAGTTCCTACCACAGCGGCAGCTAGGCTGGGTTGCAGCCAAGCGGCAGAAGCAAAGCCCAGGTCTCGCACACAGAGGACGGGAGCCGCAGGCTCTGGGAGTGCGGCGTCTTGGTCGGTCTACACGTCGGTAACTCAAGTAGCTGATGTACTCGGTTACTCTGAATCCTTTCCCGATAAGAAACCTCATCCAATTACCTCGTCTGTACATAATTACTCTCGTGCTTTCTTTCATGGTTGGTTTCCACTTTTGAAATGAAAATCCACGTTTACTTACCCACTGTAGACATCTTTCCAGCCTGCCCAGAGTTAAGAGTGGCTTAGGAAAGTTGATTGACTCAAGGGTAATACTATCCTGGCATACTCGAGTTTAACTAGACTGCAAGTGAGCGGTGTACAATCCTGACAAGTCTGATATCAGCCCGGCTGTCAGAAAACTGACGCCGTTAGCTATTGACACTACGCCGACTCAAGTGTACTGTTAATGTGAAATGCGTGCCCTAAGCTATGCTGTGCCCTCTCGTTCAGTGCACAGTTCCCCCGCAGAAGCAGTGGGTGGCTCTGAAAAGAGCCTTTGGGTTTGGGGTGGTCGGTAGGAGGTGCGCTTCACTTGGCCTTGGCCTTGTGGTGGCTCTCGGTCTTCTTGGGCAGCAGCACGGCCTGGATGTTGGGCAGCACGCCGCCCTGCGCGATGGTGACCTTGCCCAGCAGCTTGTTGAGCTCCTCGTCGTTGCGGATGGCGAGCTGCAGGTGTCGCGGGATGATGCGCGTCTTCTTGTTGTCGCGCGCCGCGTTGCCCGCCAGCTCGAGGATCTCGGCCGTCAGGTACTCGAGCACGGCCGCCAGGTAGACGGGCGCGCCGGCGCCCACGCGCTCGGCGTAGTTGCCCTTGCGCAGCAGCCGGTGCACGCGGCCCACGGGGAACTGCAGCCCGGCCCTGGAGGAGCGAGTCTTGGCCTTGGCGCGCGCCTTGCCGCCCTGCTTCCCGCGTCCGGACATCGCCACGAAACAGCACGACACACACTCGGTGCTGCAGCAAACCGCCAACAGCCGCCCTTATACACACCGCGGGGCGCGAAAAACAAGGCGTCCCATTGGCTGCCGCCGCCTTTTCATTTGGACCAATGGGAACGCGACGTTGCCATTCCCGCGTCCTGATTGGGCCACACTGATGTGCGACTACCAGCCAATCAGACACAGCGCCCTCGCTGCACCTTATTTGCATAAGGAAAGCTATATGAAAACGGGCGTGGAGCGGGTGGCTCGCGGTTTTGTGTTGTGACAAACTGCGCGTGTCTCATCATGCCCGAACCGGCGAAGTCGGCCCCGGCCCCGAAGAAGGGCTCCAAGAAGGCGGTGACCAAGGCGCAGAAGAAGGACGGCAAGAAGCGCAAGCGCAGCCGCAAGGAGAGCTACTCGGTGTACGTGTACAAGGTGCTGAAGCAGGTGCACCCGGACACGGGCATCTCGTCCAAGGCCATGGGCATCATGAACTCGTTCGTCAACGACATCTTCGAGCGCATCGCGGGCGAGGCGTCGCGCCTGGCGCACTACAACAAGCGCTCGACCATCACGTCCCGCGAGATCCAGACGGCCGTGCGCCTGCTGCTGCCCGGCGAGCTGGCCAAGCACGCCGTGTCCGAGGGCACCAAGGCCGTCACCAAGTACACCAGCTCCAAGTAGACGCTCCTGGAGACCCGGAGACGCCGGCTGCAGACCCAAAGGCTCTTTTCAGAGCCACCACGCTTTCAGAGGAAGAGCTGTTGGCACTTAGCTCTGGGGTTGGGGATGTTGAATGTGTCGGTGTTGTAGGCTTGAAGTGAGGTTGGCAGTTTCCTAATCGCCCCTTCCTGTTCTGGCAGGGACGAGTGTTCGAGAACCCCGCGGTGTTTGGCTCTCTGCTTTATTGGCGTTCTATGACGCCCGATGGTGGGAAGGTGGGTTTCTGTATGTCGCTCTGTTGCAGCAGCACTACCCCCAGCGACTTGCGTTTACTTCCTAGCTGCCTATTCTTGGCTTTTTCCGGTCTCCGCTTTCCCCGGGGACGCCTTTCCGCCAGGAAGCTGCCGCTCGTATCCTAAGGGCCAGCCCGGGTCTTTGCTCCATTGCCCCTAGCTTTGCCCGGGCGGCAGGGTTGCTGGACCCCGAGGCGGGACCGTCCGGCCCTGCACCCCTCGCCCTCTCCTGGGAGGGATGGCGGGCCCGGGACCATCGTGCAGCACCCCGTCCGAGGGTCCCCTCATGCATAGTGAGAGTGGGTCGGCCTGTGTCCCGTTCCACCGCGGGGCTACAGTGCAATCCTGCCCTACAAAAGGTGTGAGAACAGTTCCTGCAGTGTCCAGTGTCCTAATTCTTTTCCAGAGATCCATGTGACTCCCCTTGTCCCTTGAATGCTCGCCAGACGTTGGAAAGTCACACAGAAGCATTTCTGCCTTGTAAAGTATTAAGAGCCAGCCCGAATTCTCCACGTACAAAGGGAGTTCTGAATACAAAATATTCTAAGGAAAATGAAAAATCGGTATTTTAAATAGGACCCAGGAAAAATAGAAAGTTGTGCTGTGGTTTTGGGGGATTTTTATCTTTCTAGTAGAAATGACATGTGTTTCCTTGTGATCTGTGGAGTTGCTAAAAATGCAGCTTTAAAATGCATTTCAGACATAAATTCACGGCAGGATTGCCCTAAGACAGTGGACTAGGACTGCGACGAAACTGCAGAGAATTTAGCCGGGGTGTTTGTGTATGTGTGTGCTCTTTTTGCTTTTTTTTTTTTTTTTTTTTTATATATTAAAGATTTGTAGGGGCCATGGCATGGAGTGGCCAAGCAGCAGTGCCAGAGCCCCATATGGGCTCAGCTCAAGTCCCACTTTCATCCTGGGAAAGCTGTGGAAGATGGTCCAGGTCTTTAGGCTCCTGCGGCTACAGGGACCACCTGGAGGAGGCTCCTGGCCTCTGGCTTCCAACTGGCTCAGCTCCTACCATGGCAGCTGTTTGAGTAGTGAACCAGCAGATGTAAGATCTTAAGATCATTATCTCTCCCCCTCTTTGTAATTCTGCTTTTGAAATAAAAAAAATAAATTTTTAACAGTAAATAACGTTTTAAAATATTTATAATCAATGTGATGTTAAAATAACATGATTTTTGGACTCTTCTGTAACTTACAGAGATGTAAAAGAAGGTGAGGAATGTCCAACACCCGTGTTTGGTGAATGAGGAATTGTGATTTTTAACAAAACAAAGCAAAAAATTCACAACATCCCTAGGAGCTACTGAGCGCCAGGGATACCGACAACCACGGCAGCCAGATAAAAATCGCCGTCCTTGTGAACTTTCTTTTCATTGGGGACGAAAATACTAAATGAAGAACTACAATGAACTCCATGCTACATACAGAATTAAGGAGGAAAAGGGGAGAGGTGGAGATGGCTGGGAGTTAAGTCGCTCCCTCACGCACTTAGCAAAGTCTTGAACACTAGCGCTGAGCCAAATACCTTGGGTGGACTGATTTATCCTGGTTCTCAACATCAGAAGCAGAGGAGAGGATCTTAAGCTGACAGGTTTGATACAAGCTTTATGGTCAAGACACATTTCCATTTATGGTGCTTGCTCCAGAAAAGAAGAAAAAGAAAAACATAGCAGAGGATGGTTTCGATCCATCGACCTCTGGGTTATGGGCCCAGCACGCTTCCGCTGCGCCACTCTGCTGCACCGCGAGGTTGGCCGTTTGAGATCACCCTGTTAAAACAATTCACTCCAACCTTTCTTTTTGGTTTCTATTTCAAACAACTCGTGTTTTCCTGAGGACGATCAGTTTCATTTAAGCCTTTAGCGAAGAAAATGAGTTCCCGAAACGCTGACCTCAAATATCCTGCGAGTCGATCGAC